ACTAAGAAAGAGGGAGGTGGGTGGTTGAGTATCGGAGTTCATACATGTAATTTCAAATCTGAGCCAACTGTATGCCCTGCAGTGGGTGGGCTGCATTCAATCCTGTCCAATATCATAGATCTACACTGAGTATTCAAAAACATTAAGAATACCTGCTCTTTCCATGACATAGACTGACCAGGAGAAGACAGGTGATATGGTAGTAGGTGCCAGGTGCACCAGTTTGTGTCATGAACTGCAACGCTGCTGGGTTTTTCCATGCTCAACAGTTTCTCATGTGTATCAAGAATGGTTCACCACCCAAAGGACATCCAGCCAACTTGACACAACTCAATATTAGGAAGGTATTCCTAATGATGGTATACTCAGTGTCAGAGTTGTGGACTGGAGTCACATGACTTGGACTTGAGTCTGACTCAAGTTACAAATTTGATGACTTGAGACTGGCCAGGTTTTGTAATGTTTTGTCACTAATTTTGTGGCACAGATTCTACGTGGATTACTCTACACACAGCCAGAGACAGTAGCCGTAGCATCGCCCTTGCAAAAAAGCCTGCAACAGATTGGCTAGTGAAACGCACACTCGGCACTCTGATTGGACCAGCAAATTGTCAATCAATACAGGTCGGGTGAGCTAGCGAACAGATTGCTGATTTGCTGTACAGCTATAGGATCGGGTGCAGCTCAAACGTCAAATTGTAGGAACAGAGGATTGAAATAATAAATAAATAAATAAATAAATACAGTGGGGAAAAAAGTATTTAGTCAGGCACCAATTGTGCAAGTTCTCCCACTTAAAAAGATGAGAGAGGCCTGTAATTTTCATCATAGGTACACGTCAACTATGACAGACAAATTGAGATTTTTTTTCTCCAGAAAATCACATTGTAGGATTTTTAATGAATTTATTTGCAAATTATGGTGGAAAATAAGTATTTGGTCACCTACAAACAAGCAAGATTTCTGGCTCTCACAGACCTGTAACTTCTTCTTTAAGAGGCTCCTCTGTCCTCCACTCATTACCTGTATTAATGGCACCTGTTTGAACTTGTTATCAGTATAAAAGACACCTGTCCACAACCTCAAACAGTCACACTCCAAAGTCCACTATGGCCAAGACCAAAGAGCTGTCAAAGGACACCAGAAACAAAATTGTAGACCTGCACCAGGCTGGGAAGACTGAATCTGCAATAGGTAAGCAGCTTGGTTTGAAGAAATCAACTGTGGGAGCAATTATTAGGAAATGGAAGACATACAAGACCACTGATAATCTCCCTCGATCTGGAGCTCCACGCAAGATCTCACCCCGTGGGGTCAAAATGATCACAAGAACGGTGTAAATATACCAGCAACAGTGTGTGAAAACCTTGTGAAGACTTACAGAAAACGTTTGACCTGTGTCATTGCCAACAAAGGGTATATAACAAAGTATTGAGAAACTTTTGTTATTGACCAAATACTTATTTTCCACCATAATTTGGGGTAGAAGGATTACTTTTATACTATCCCAGGTATTCCTTAAAGAGGTAGGGTTTCAAGTGTCCTCCCTGAGCTGTCAACAGTGTTGGCTCCACTTTATCAGCTGCTACACAAAGACTGTAAACAGAAGTGGAGGCCAGCACAAGAGAAAGCTTTTAAGGAAGTGAAAGCACAACTACAATCAGCACAACTGCTGGTTCATTTTGACTAAGACAAAGAGATCATCCTGTCATGTGATGCCTCGCCCTATGGTGTCGAGGCAGTACTCTCTCATCAGACGGAGGACGGGTCAGAGAAACCCATTGGATTCGCATCACGCACACTGTTGAGTGCTAAGAAGGGTTATTCACAGATAGACTAGGAAGGTCTGGCCATAGTCTTTGCTGTGAAACGCTTTCATCAGTACCTCTATGGTCGTCATTTCACCATATGCACTGACCACAAACCACTGATGAGCCTTTTCAGTGAATCAAGATGCATTCCTCCCATGGCTTCAGCAAGGATACAGCGCTGGGCCCTCACACTGTCAGCTTACCAGTACACTATCGTGTACAGAGCGGGGAAAGACAATGCAAACGCAGACTCGCTCAGCTGTCTCCCGCTACCAGAGATGCCCGCCACAACCTTGGTGCCTCCCGAGACAATTTTCCTAATGGAGAGATTGTCAAACTCACCTGTGAATGCCAAACAGATAAAACAGTGGACAGGCCGGGATCCTATCCTGGCCCAAGTGAAAAGATTCCTTATGCAGGGTTGGCCTTCCGTCATAGAGGATGATGGACTGAGACCTTATGCAAAGCGCAAAACTGAGCTGAGTGTGCAGGATGGCTGCATACTCTGGGGGTCCAGAGTGGTTGTTCTGGCCCCTGGCCGTGCACAAGTCATGGATGAGGTCCATGAGGCTCACCTGGGTGCCTCCCGGATGAAAAATGTAGCCTGATCTTACATCTGGTGGCCTAACATGGATCAGGACGTAGAAAACAAAGTGGAATCATGTTCTGAGTGCCAGATCAACCAGAAGATGGTGCCGCCCGCGCCACTACATCTGTGGGAGTGGCCTGACTGCCCATGGTCCAGGCTGCACATAGACTTTGCAGTCCCTTTTGTGGGCCACATGTACCTTTTCATGGTGGACGCGCACTCCAAGTGGCTGGAGGCTCACATCCTGAGCAACATCACAGCGACCACAACCATCGAAAAGCTTCGGCAGGTGTTTGCAACCCATGGTCTGCCTGACTCTCTTGTGTCTGACAATGCAACAACCTTTACCTGTGACTTGTTCCAAGAATTAATGCGGAGAAACGGGATTCGCCATGTCCGCAGTGCTCCGTTTCAACGGGCCTCAAGCGGCTTAGCGGAGCGGGCTGTGCAGACACTGAAAGAGGGGCTCAAAAGGATGACTGGGGGAACCATCACAACTAAGCTCTCTCGGTTCTTGTTCCAGTACCGCATCACACCACAAACAACAACAGGACAGGCTCCAGCGGAGATGTTGATGGGCAGAAAGCCAAAAGCTCACCTGGATCTACTGCGTCCGGACATCAAAGCACCAGTTGAACGAAAGCAGGAGAAACAAAAAGAGAGACATGACCACCAAGCGAGGGAGAGACAGTTAAAACCCAATGACACTGTGTACATCCACAACTTCACATGCAGCCAACACTGGTTGCCAGGTATCATTCTGAGTCAGAGTGGTCCAGTCTCCTTTGTGGTCAAACTGACTGATGGTCAAGTCATGCGCAGACACCAGGACCACATCCGCCTGTGCTATGACAAAGAAAATACCATGTTTTCAGATGGAATAGCTGCGGGTGGTAGTATACAAGTTGAAACCCCACAGGAAACAGTATCTGAAGAACAGGGGCATTCAGTGGTTCCAGCAGAGGGTGATGGACTTTCTCTCACAAACACCCAACCCGCTCCTGTGCCCTCACCCCCAGCTCCACTGGGACACGCCTTACCTGTGTCTCGTGGCACACCAGGAGTACTGCGCAGATCACAGCGTAGTCACAAGCCTCCTGAAAGACTAACTCTGTAGTTGAGAGAGTAAATAGGACTGGTGGAGTTATGTCACACATGCAACTAACAAAAATATATGGAAATGTCTGCTCTACTCAAAATTAAAATCAACTAATTGCAGCATTACTGCAAAAATGGAAGAGGCAAGTGTAAGGGGGAGAAAGTAAGGAACTTGTCTGTCGGCCGTGCATTAAAGACCAAAATTGTTTTGTTTTGAAAATTGTGTTAAAAAAAAGTATACCAGTTTAATTTAAGGACCAAAAAATTGACAGCTGTGCCATATAGATTACAAAATAGTTGGGAAGAGATTTTCGATGTACCGATTCCATGGCACATGGTTTATGAACTGCTACACAACACAACGCTGGATTCAAATGTAGTTTTATGT